ACAGAATATTGTTAATCTTAAACTATCAAACAGTAGTGCATTCAAACATTGAAAATAGTTTGTATACACCACCATAACAGCGTGTGTCCATTAAAAGGGTTTTATTTTTTTATATTAATGATGTTATTGCTGAGTAAAATTTATAAGTTCGTTCATAACTCGTGTCATAATTACATCATCAGACTTTCCAAGGTCTAGAAAACCCAAATCGTTAAACATATCATCCCGGGAAATGACCGGTATTAAACATTGGTTTGACATTGATCCATCAGAAGGGTAATTTTCCGCTCCATCGCATGGTTTTGCTTAAATATGACTTTGATTGAGATAATCCAGGTTTGTCATAATGATGTTATGAACAAACACTTTATGATATTTCTGCAAAATATCATGTGAGGGACTTCCCACTGTTTCACAACATCCTTTTACATGGTGGAATGAACATGGAAGAGTATCGTGCTGATGACTCAAAAGAGAAGCGAAGGAGAGGCAAAAATATGCTTGTCATAATGGATTGTCATCATGTTATGAACGTGACAGTGTGTCATAATGGTTATGAACGAAACCTTATTCCATGTAATTTACAGTTGTTTTGGGATGTATCAGACCTTGCTTACATTCTGATATTTTGATTTTTATGATAAGTGTATGGGTCTGGATTTTAATTAGTATTTTACTTTTGTAGTAATGGTTATGAACGAACTACATATTGTACTCTGAGGGCTTTACAGAGTTGATAAACATTAAAAACATGTACACAGATACATATTATGAGGAAACTTTCATTTAATATGAAATTTTAAAGTAAATGACAGGTCAAAATATTAATTTTTAGGTCAAAACTGAAGTTTGTCATAATAGTTATGAACGAACAATTAAAGGTATTCTAAGGGTTTTTCAGTGATTAAACTTTGAATTCTTCCAACATATAACCTTATTTTGAGGAGCGTCTCATAAATTAAAACAATTTTATGTGAATGACAGAACAATAAGTTAATTTTTTGGGCCCAAAGTAAAATTTGTCATAATAGTTATGAACGAAACAGTGTGTCATAACGGTTATGAACGAAACCTAATTCCATGTAATTTACAGTTAGTTGTTTTGGGATGTATTTTTAATTTTAACCCAACTAAAGGACAGAATAGACCTTGCATACATTCTGATATTTTGATTTTTATCATAAGTGTATGGGTGTGGATTTTAAATAGTATTATACTTTTGTAGTAATGGTTATGAACGAACTATTTATAGTCCATTTTATATATTTTGAGGGCTTTTCAGTGTTAACAAACTTTAAAAACATGTACAGAGATACATATTATGAGGAGAGTTTCATTTAATAAAAGTTTTTAAAAATGAATGACAGATCAAAATGAGTAAATTTTTAGGTCAAAATTGAAGTTTGTCATAATTGTTATGAACGAACCATTTTAAAGGTATTCTAAGGGTTTTTCAGGAAATATAAACTTTGAATTCTCCCTACATAGAGGAATCTATCATTTTAAGGAAAGCCTCATAAATGAAAACCGTTTTATGTGAAAGACAGAACAATATAAGTAAATTTTAGGGGCCAAAAGTAAAATTTGTCATAATAGTTATGAACGAAACAGTGTGTCATAATGGTTATGAACGAACTTTAAATTTATGCATAATATGCCCTAAGACCAGTTTGCGTTTAAAAATAGCTGTTTAATGGTCTTTCATTTATCACTTGACTATAATTAGTCAATTGAATTGAGTGTTATTTTAGACAATTCTATTCGATGAAACTTGATATAATTGATAGTATTTTGGTCACTTATTGTTCGTTCATAACTATTATGACACAAAAAAGTAATTTTATCAAAAATTAATAAAGATTTTTATAAATTGTCAATTCTATGTAGTTTTGGAAGTTATTTGCTATGTCTCAAAATATAACATCAGCCTAGCTGAAGAAAGGAACTTCGAGTATTCATAAATTTGTGTCATCATTGTTATGAACGAACTTTTGGCTATTTCCGTCATTCAAGTCAGAATTACACCAAGACCATTGCATATACAGCTTTGGCAGTTACTGAGCCTGAAAGAGCAATCATTAGGCCATATAATATGGGTGATTAAAGAATTATTACATAAAGTTGATTTTGGACCTCATTTGTCACACCCAGGTATCCCACCTTTTGGCAAATGCTCTTGAACGAATCGGTCTTTTTTTTTTGGCCGGCACTATTTCTCCGAACGTTCGGGAAAATAAAGCTGGGCACTATTTCTCCGAACACTCTGAAATCACACCCTTTCCCGCATATTTCGGATAATAAAAATAAAATATAGATCTATAATTATATTATAGGCCTACCAAAGATTGTTCGTATACAATATGGTTCAATCGGTCCAAAAAATGTCCGTATTTATATATAAAGAAATGCTACAGTTCCAAACAGTTTTTCGCTACAGATATGACGTGTGGCCTATGAAGGGTGCTGCTCTTAAACTTAATGTGTTGCGTTCACTCGTGAGCTGTCTAGATCTAGATCTATGGAGGGTTATTGATAACGACACATAGAGCTAGCATCTGCGTTTGTCGAGGCCACGACCAATCAATCGTGGTTCGATTTTTTGGTCCCCGAAAAAGTCAAAAAAAAAGAAAAGAAAATGAAACTCTTTACTTTTGAAAGAAAGTTCACTTAGCTTCACTTCGTCTCTTTCTCACTTGTCACCACGTTGATTTGTTGAATACGTTACAGTTACATATGATTTGTATTGCTGTTCCTCTTTTATTTTTCGTTCATTTTTCCCTCTTTGTGGTGTTATATTTTGTTGGTGTGTATTTTTTTTTTCTTGTTATTGTTCTGATGTGTTGTTTTTCTATCAATTTTTTTTTGTTGGGGAAAAGGGGGGGGGGGGGGGGTTGTATAGTGTAATGTCATTTAATTTGATGTTCCTACAAAAGGTATTGTGTAACGTCATTTAATTTGATGTTCCTACCTTCATTAGATTCTAAATATATATACCTGTATAGATTTAAATGTGCTATGTTAGAGCGTTCCACCAAAACCAATTACATGTACTGACACTGGCAGGCCCCCTGTGTGTGGTTCCATAATTTCCATGCAATATCCTGTACTTTTTTTAACAAATTACGCACATTTAGGGTTAAAACGGTCAATCTTCTTCGGACAGGTGGACACACGCCCTTATTTGTTAATTGTTGTGGTTGTTTCTGGGCTGTTCTAGTTTTGATTTCATTCTGTTGTGAAACCTTTCTTTTTCACGTTTTTACACTCATTTAAAAATCTCTAGACTAGATCTAGCTCTTGAAAATTGAAATAGATCTAAACCCAAAAATTTGCTCCGTTTTTTAAAAAATGGACGATAACCGTCCACTCAATAGAAAAGAGGGTCAGATATCTCCGTCTCTCGGGTGCCTCAGGCAGTACCCGCCTCGCTAAACCAGTGGGCACACGGCCGGAGGAGAAGCTGAGAACAGATACCACCTTTGATTTGCTCCTTCCCAGACCTCGCAGAATGACGGAATTTGGAATGAAAGTTGGCGCCGAACTCTCGCAAATAGGCAAACAATCACGACCAGAGCGGAAGCCGGAAACCGTTCGGAGAAATAAAGATCGGCACTATTTCTCCGAACGTTCGGAGAAATAGTCACTTCGTTTTTTTTTTAACACAGCTCATAATAATATGCAGGTGCCAGGAGATCTGCTAATCTTTAATTTTACCTTTTTCTACAACAAAGAAAGAAGGAAACATGGGGGGCGGGGGGGCGTATCAATGACGCGGCGGGCATCAGATCGGCAGACAAGGTGCGGGGGAAACTAAAAAATGGCGGAAAATTGGAAGCACTGAACGTTAGATCTATAGAACGAAGACACTTGGACTCGAGTCCGAATATGATTTTTTAAAATTCGGACTCGATTCCGAATATGAAAAAATGTTATTCGGACTCGAGTCCGAATAATGACGGCCTTCTATAATTCTATTATCACAGAGTAGAATTCTGTGGTTCAGGGCGAACGCTTCACTGGTTGGCCTAGGCTATAACGGTGAACGCCCACCGGGTGAGAATAGCCAAAAGACTCGCCTGCGCTATTCTCACCCCGGGTGAGAATAGAGGTGGTCTAAACAAAATGGCTGTACTGTTGAAACTGTTATAAATAGATCTAGGCCTATCGGCCAATAATGTACATCCAGGGGCGAAGGCTGACTTGTTTGACAGGGTAAGTAATCAAAGTGAAACTGGACCAGATAGGGCCAGAAGATATCACTCTACTCTAAGACCTAAGAATCTTACTCGAGGCGGCAACACACTGAGTTGTGAATGAAAGCTACAAATATCTAGATCTAGAAATATAGATTCTAGGGTATTTTTTTACTTTCCCTCCCGTCTCACACTCAGCTACCAGTTGTCTATTTTCTACTAAATATTGATGCGCTGAACACGAATATATCAACTTCATTTCCGTCGCAAATTAATAGTTTTTGAAATATTTGATTGTTTTTACCGAGATAGACATGCTTTGGACCAATGGGGGGGGTTCCATAATTTGATATTTTACAGTTAGATTTGAAATTGTCTTGAAAATAATTGATTTGTGACAGTTTTAGTGGCTTTATGCATGTGTGATCTGCAGCAAACTATCGCAGTTTGACCCCTGAAACAGTGCATCTGTGTGCGGGAGTGAAAGTAAAAATTTACCGATTCTAGTCTAGATCTTGATCTATGTTGTATGCATATCCAGTGAGTAACAGTAGACATGGGGAAATCATTAATATAGATCTAGATCTAGGTGCATTTTGTAATACAGACATAGATATCTACAGGCACTTAAAATCTAAATATGTCAATAACAACAAAGCTGCAAAGCCAACGTAATGCAAGTTAGCCGAGGTAGTGACACCGGTTGTCGATAACTGGTAAGCGTCATAAAAGCAACTGAGTTGAGACCATTTTTTAAAAAAATGGTCAGAACTAAATAGATCTATGTACTATTAACCAAAAGGATACAATGGGTTGAACCATAACCTTCTGGACTTTCTGTGCTCCACCTTTATATGCCATTTTAAATTTAAAGTGTCAGTTCCACACTTCCAAGAAAGAAAAATTAATTTTACGTTTTACAAACGCGCCGGACGAAGTCTCTTCCGGTGGTACATTAATTTAACGCCCACACGATAAACAGCCCAGCAATTGACTCTGTCACGGAGACTGTCAGCGCCAGCTACAGAATTCTACTAGGCTAGAATTCTGTGGCGCCGACGCATAATTTTAAAGCCTACAGGCTATAGCCCTGCTATATTAGACTTGGGGGATGGGTTGGGGGAGGTTTGAGGGCTAGAATGGGGTGATAGTGATGGTAAATAAACCTTCTTTTGCAAAAAGAAAATGAGGAATTATTTCTTAAGTCCAATATTTAAGTTTAGGATAATTTGTAAACACAAATGACAATGTCGCAGTTTTTACAAAGAAGCACCATTAAATAAAATAAATAAATAAATAAATAACATTAAAGTAGCACTACCAGTTCTTCGTTTTTCAAACTAGCGACTTTAGATAGAATGTTTCATACAACTTTTTAAAGTAAGATATTTCGGCAATACTGCAATAATAATAATATGACAAGCACACAAAATGAATTTTGCTTTCAGATCAGCTCAATAGCATAAGAAGATGGCAAAATGGAATTGGAGCCCAACTCTTGGTAGCTCAAGTCTTTTGTCGATTATTTTCTCTAAACTGAATAGAAGTATATATATAATCGTGGCGTTGGTGGCTAGTGTTAGCTCGGATTGGTAATCCTGGGGTTGACGGTTCAGGGGTTCGAATATCGAGCCTCGGTCCCGACGTTGTGTCTTTAGGAAAGGCACTTTACACGAACTTTCCCCTCTTCACCCTCGTACATGTGGGAATAGGTATCCGGCAATAGACAGCGGAAGATCTTGTCAGTATGTTATAGTGTTTTTATGCCTATATTTGGCCGCTTGCATTGTATGCTTTCCAGGAAGTTATGAGATTGCTTCAGAATGCTCACAGGTCTGCTGGGGTAACAGTATAGATTGTGAAACGAATATATAGAGCTTAGTGTTGAGAGGGGATTAATTCCGCTATTTATTATTATTAGTGGGAAACCCTCGACTATATTGACCGGTTAACTAGTGGCCTAAAAGTGTGATATGTGGCAGGGAACCTTTTGAGAAAGAAAGTTTATAATATAATGCAGAAGAAGCCAGCAAGAGGCAAGAAAATCAAGGTAGTCAAATTCTGACATCAACCCAAGCCCATTAACAGACCATGGTAGTTTCGTGTGACAGCTGGTAAGACTATAACTTCTCTAGTGATCATTCTTGGATGTTAAAGGTCATCAAGATCATACATGAAGGGCGCCTATTATTAACGGAAAAGAAGCAGTGACCATTGTTTGGTCACTGACATGCAAATATTTTCCTATCAATCTAGATTTCGATGTGTATTTCAGAACTTGAGAAATCGGGCATTAGCTGATTTCTTTGCTTTCAATTATCTGTGCTAGGAATAGAGACGCAAGAGAGTATAGAGGCCAAAATACACAAAAATTATTTTAAAAAGTCGCTTCAAAATGTGTTTGCAAACTTCTGACACCCTTTTATCCTTTAAAAAAAAACAACAACAACCCGAACAATTAAATCTCATTTTTTATGTCTTCTATTATCATTGCTATTCCCCCCCCCCCCCCCTTTTTTTTTTTTTTTTTTTTTTTTCTTTTCTTTCCCCCCCCCCCCCCTTTATTAATTTTCTGTTGGACTGTCAAGATGACCAATGACAAAGAAGAAGGGTTAAAAAAACTAAAAAACACCGTACAATACCGGAAGAGGAAGAGAAGCACAGTGTTTTTTTTTACCCCCCAGAGAAAACGAGGTTCACGTAGTTACTCATGTAATCAGTAATGATAAAAATATGAGAACTCTAGATCTAGAATGAACAGTACCTCCAAACTCTTTTATTTCTGTACCTAAGAATTCAAACGCTTGGAACGTAAGGAATCATGCTACTTTTAGTTGTTTCACCATATTGATATGATCTTTGTTGTTTCGAGAGTGACGTTGGTATTTGCAGTCGATTGCGGACGATCCCTCTCACGTCAACTCTGGCTGACAGTCTAGAATCTAGACTGGGCTCACATATATTCACAACATTGTAATTGTTGATGTCATGTCAGATGAGCACTCAGATTTCATTCACTCATTTAGGCAACTAGATCTAGATCTAGACTTCTAGGTACGTCTACTGAGAATTTTAGAACGAATTTTAGGTGTTCTTTTTGTTTGTTTTACGAACAAGTTACACAGGTTTGATTGAACCCCGCCTCAACTACTGCTGTCTGGTCCTGGTCTGTCTCTGACTGAGAGCTGTTTATAATTTCGAAGTGACTATTCGGACTCGGACTCTAGTCCGAATAGACCAAAATTATATTCAGACTCTGAATTGAGTCCATCATGACGTCCCTTCCGACTTCCGACCCTTGTTCCTAAATATTTCCAGCGTTTAGATCTAGATCTATTATGAAAATATTTTTGATTAATCCACAATAGAGACGTGATCGTTAATATCCAGTTACTAGAGATATCTAAACTGGTTGGCCCTCCCTGGATCATAAGTTTGAGCAGAACAACTATGTTGAGTTGACCTTACCAGGGGCAAAGTTATTAGGAAATGAGACTACTACGCGTAGCGAAATGCACTCTCGGCTTGCTGTGGGAAGAGGTGTTGGGAAGAGGCCACGGCTGTCCATTTTGTGAGATGTGATTAAAAAAATAATAATTACAGAAAAACTATAACACACAACAAAATGAAATTCAATACTTGTAAAGACAAATGGTGGTGGAAGTAATGATGCTGTAGTGGTGGTGGAAAGACCATGAGTTGTCGGTTACCGTGTACTTAGACACTGCCATTGGGTAGATCTAATTAATCATGAGAGTGCGATCTTTTGACTTTTGACACAATTACACAGTCCTTGTAGGCAATTCTAGTTCTAATTCTGGTTTTACGTTAAATCCCCAGACGACGGTTATTTTATGTAACCTCCTTGCACTCACAAGACTCATTTAGAAGCTGAGTCCAAATAAATAAAACATTTTTTTCAGACCCGAGTCCGAATAGATAAAACTCATATTCGGACTCGAGTCTGAATAGATAAAAATTATATTCGGACTCGAGTCCGAATAGATAAAAATTATATTCGGACTCGAGTCCGAATAGCGCCGGCCTTATAATTTCACAGCGGTTTCTGCCTAAACGCGTGCCATACAAAGGCATGCTCTGCTCAAATGCACTCTTTTGTCATATGAATTTTGTTTTCCAATTGGTGTGACTATTTGGACCCGAGCAACCTTGGCCCCCATAGGCCATAGAGACCCATAGGGTCATTTCCGATAGAGATTAGTTTTCAGCACCCTCCAACGCCGAATGCGCATTTCCTAGTCACAGCAATGTATGCAAACTGCAAAGATGCATTTGTCTAAAAAGAAAGAGAAGCGCATCATTCTAAAAAATAAAATCAAATCCGCAATGTATGTTACTCTAGCATTCATGCTAATTAGCAATACCACACGCCGACAGTGCGATAACGAAGTAGACTCGCCCCAGCCAGGGGTAACCTTGGGAACATGCTTTTTTATAGCATTGTTCTTTGCGTCAGCCCCATGTATACATCATTACTCGGGGGAAAAATTGAGGCATTCGGTGAAGAAAAATTTTTTGCGATATCCTCTACGACAGCCGAGATATTGTCGAAGAAAGAGGATTGGTCGGTAGAGAAGCCCAAACCCGCCGAATGGCACTGGGGTTTTCCGATTCTCCTTATTCGGAAAGGTGCGGAACCATCTATAAATATTATTCAAATGTCCCCAAATTTGGCAACCAATGAGAAAAAAGATGGATCTAGCCTCCGCAGATTGCAGTTTTATTTGAGCTGGAAACAAGAAAGTTACAAGGTCTTTTCTTTGAGGATATTGTTTAAAAAAATGTGTGGTCGATTAAATTTGCGGATGCTCCTGCATCATCTCAGACAGGCTGAACTTTATAATGTAAAACTATTTTGTGAAATTATCCGTAATACAATAGCATTTTGAAAAAATTTAATGTCTATGTCCTTCCTGTCTTTCGAGTGGCCCAAAAGCCAGAAAAGGAAACACTGCCGCACACGGGATATGCTTGCTGCGAGACGTGTAAGCTTGCCGCCATCTTACTGTGACGTCACGGCTGCCTTTAACTCACTTGCGACTGGGCCCTTTCACCAGTCACAAGCGTTGAAGACTGGTGTTTTTGGGGGTATTTCAATAAATCACCACAACTCTCAGAATTACCCTATTGTAATCATTTTTTGACACAGTAAAGTAACATTCAAGCTTAATCTAATACAAAAAACTAAAGTTGTCTTAGTCTAATACTTTAATTTGTATGATTTTTTAAAAATTGGCATGAATTTGATTTTCCGAAAAATTTCCAGAGACGTGACAAGTAGAATGAAATTCACTGCAACAACAAAAATAAAAGTTCAAAGTGTTCTGGTTTGATTTGTATACATGTGCGAGTGTTTGGTGAAAATATAAAAGCTGGTCTGTGCATTGATTCAGACCCATACACTGAATTACATGAGACAGATGTACGGCACAACGTTGTGATTTCGTTGCGCGAAAAACAACACCAGTACTAGTGCTAGATCTAGCCCTAGAACTACGACTCGGGCCGTGTTCGGGTACATATCCAGGATCCTAACTATTAGACACATCATATTCTGAGACACTAGAACTAGTAAAACGCACAGAAGTATAGAAAACGGCGAAATTATGTGATTCTTGTTCATGCGACTTCTTCGACCGTTACTACGACGCGACTGTCGGATTACTATCAACTGTATAGAAAAAAACAAAACGCGAGTTCTGGTCTGTTCAACCCCAGTTGGGGTCACTGTCCTTCGCCTTCAATAACTTAAAAACTACCGGCCCCAGAGATACGAAACGAAGTCTAAGTAGCTCAGGCTTGGCCAAACAAGGGTACGAGGCGGGTCTCGCGATCCGTGCGTGATATGTAGAGCGGAAAAAAAATTCCAAAGTTGGTCACGCAGGGCTTGTGAGACCCGTCGCGAGCGTCGCGGCGGGGGTCACGCAACTGTTGTGTGACCCGTCTGAAGTGAGTTAAAGCGTAGCCGCTGATGGGACAGATTTTTTGATGGGCCTGAATACCGCGGATATATACATATATATATGGACTTCAAGATAACTGCATGTTTTGTTCTCCTAGTACAGTAGAACCTGCCATGTCAGCCACCTCTATAAGAGTAGACAGCCACCTGCACAACTGGCCACTTTCCATTTCCCCCCTTGCGTTTTTTCTATACAATTTAACTGTGTAAAACGGGCACCTGTCCAATGCGGCAGTGGCCTCCTTATTTTAGCACACAACCCCTATAACACCAAACAATAATACCTGTCTTAGATGAACACCTTAATGACTCCGTTACGTTTTGTCATAAATCATGCATTTGCCCCTGGCATCGTGGGTGAGCCGTCATAATCCATTTCCCTGTAGTTATTGTTAGGTAGTCCCTCCAACCGATCATGTTGCGTAGGCCCCTCCCATAGGTAACACTTTTGCTGCAGATGAGGGAAGCGTTATCAGCACGTCTCGCTCATAACCCATAAGCCCCTCCCAGAACTCATACTCAAATCGTAAGTGAGAGGAGTGGTCACTGTTTACCCAGTCTGTAACAAAGTAACAATGGACGTCAACATGAACTTGTGACAGAAGCGTCGCTCGTTCTTCGAGTGGTGGCAACCCGTGTGCGTTTGCTTTACCATAGCACTCGGTCCTCGTTTGTACTGTCCCCGTTGTTTTATACAAGAAAAATTCTGAAATTATGCAAACTGAGCCCAAAAATGTGAAATTATGCGATTCTGTTAATTTTAACAAAGAATGATAAAGGAAAATAATCAGAAATTATGCAAAAAATGATCAAATTTTGCTAAATTATGCGGGGTGCATAAAACCATGGGGACAGTTTGTATGACAATTTCATTATTGTCACCGTTGCACAAAAGCAACAACAATAGAAAAAAAAGAAAAGAAAACCCAGCTAAAACAAAGCTAAAACAACGACAACAACAATGCGGCTACCTTCGGTTGGGACCTCAGAAAGGAATGGTTCTCTATTTTCTTCATCTTGATCAGTCCCGCCTAAGACGGCCACCTGTTCTCCTTGACAATGGGTGTACTTGGCTGCATATCTTCTTGGCTAAAATACTAGATCTATGTAATTGTAGTTATAATTTGAATGTAATCAATTTTAGTTTTTTACAAAAATAGTTTAAATTACAAGTTATTGTAAAAATTTCGTAAAGAAACTGAGCTTGATATTATATTTATTAACATGTTGGTTTCCCATTCTCTGAGCTATTACAGGTTACAATTTGGTTAATTAATTATACGCATTACATTCAATTGAGTGCATAATAAGCGAAACATTAAAGCCTTATTTGTCACATTTTTAAATTCATCTCTTTGCAAACACAGATTTTTATACTTCCACATGTAACGCAATAGTATTATTAAGCCATATATATATATATTTGCATATTTTTCTATAATTATGTATATTTAATCATTTGCTTTTAATTAACAAAGTATTGAGATTACAACTTTAATTCTTACGTTTTCTATTTTGTTGCCCCAAAAAAGCTAAATTCACCAATTTTCAGCTCATTTCATTTCATTCATAAAAAGGAAAGTTATGTAACTTAGTATACTGTTGGTTTTCAATATTCTGGTGCTGTTTGCCCTTTTTTATTCCTCTCTATTGGAATTTTCTCCAAAAGCTTTTTAAATTATTTATAGACAGATTTTGAAAAAGTAAAAAGCATTTTACTTCTGGATTATTGGTCATTGTATCTGTGTTGTTTAAAGGTTAGTAGTACACATCTTTTAAAAAGCTGTGGTATTGCTTTGCTATAGGACAAGGACACGCGTGTCCGAATATACACGAGAGCTTTATATAGGACACATCATCGTGTCCCAATAGACGCATTTTCTAATCTAGTTTAAATGTATAAATGCACTACATCCTTCAAACACACGCTACAATTCACAAAACATGCTAACATTAAGCTAACATGCAGTAAAGCTTGGCAAAGGGACATTTTTTTGCTACAAGACTACACAGCTTGCATTATAAGACTAGTTTAGACAACCGGATATTTGGTGAGACAGAACAAATAGAATGATGGAGAGCATTAACCCACCCTACTGTCCACGGACTCAACAGGTCTAGGACTGGCTAGGCAAGCAAGGGCCTTTTTGTGATGTCTTTTGATTGGTCACTTGAAATGTGTTTTAGAGAGAAAGTTTTTTAAACTTGCGTTTGGGTGGCTGCAATGTTTAGGTAGTTATATAGGCCCCTATGAATGATATGCAATAAGCCTGAATGCTGAGAATACTGGATAAATGTAGGCCTATTGGATTAAAGATTAGAAAGTTAAGTGATCAGCTGTGCACTGAAGAAAAGTCTCTCAGAATGTCCGATGGCATCCGTACGTTCATAAATCAATTTGCAAAAGATGACAGGCAGTTGGGAGTAGTCGCTTGGAAAGCTGTGTTGTTCAGCACTCTTCCCTATGGCTGTCACCATCTTACTGAATCTGTTCCCACTTGTTGTTTGTTATTGCACATCAGTACAGGGAGTCAGTCTTTCTCTAGTCATACCCATGATTAATGAGTCCTAAGAAGAGGATTCTCGTGGTGTAGAGTTTAAGGTGTTTGCCTCTCTTTCAATAGGTCCCGGGTTCGATTCCGGATAGCAACGGAAAATTAACTTCTCTAAAATTTTCTCCTTTCACACTTCCTTTCCTGCTCTCTAACAATGTTCTGTTGTCTGCTTTCGTCTCTATTTTCATTCCCCCACCCTGTCCCCTCCTTTGCCCCCCTCCTCTAGGCTCCTGACTCTTTCTGCAGCCTTTCTTATTTCTACTGATTCTCCTTGGCTCCTTCTTACAGCTGTCTTTCTGCCATACTCCTGATATTATAGTAGAAGGTACGATCAAACACCTAGCCTTCTCGGATAAGGGTGAAATATCTCTGAGGTTCCATGTGCAAGTTGCGCATGTTAAAGATCCCTTGGTGGTCCAAAATCGATAAGAGTAGGCTACCGACGCCACCTAGGCAAAATTCAAAATTTCCTACCAAGTGGAAATATTTAATAAGACTTAACCCCCCCCCCCCCAAAAAAAAAAAAGAAAAGAAAAGAAAAGGTGAGCCCTATGAAACTGTCATGCTTTGTCAATTTATCAATGAAAGCGCTTTGTCAATTTATCAATGAAAGCGACTTCTCCCTCAAGGGAGGTCACTGAAATATTGAAATGAGATGGTTGTGTTCCTTTACCCCCTTTACACAAGTTTGTATAAATGCACACACCTTGTAAATGCACTCTTATAATATTAGTCCTCTCGAGCGCTGTGTGTTATAATTTAGGCGGAAACCTGGAGTCTACCGAAAGATGAAATTAAAGCCACCTGTCCATGAAAATAACCTGTAACAAATGACCACTTTCCACTTCACCCTTGCCTTTTTAAATATTATGACACTGTCCAAGAGCCACTTTTTTCCTCAACAAAGCAGTGGGTGGCTGTCTTGGACAATTTTTACTGTTTTAAACTATCTTAAATATATAGCTGTAGTCATCACACTATTGGCAGTTTATTGGTGGGTGCTCTGGTGTGCATATCGATCATCCTAGTCTCTCGTTCTCCTTTTTTGTCTTTGTTACTCTCCACACTAAATTGGCATTACAGAGATGAAAGGTAGACCTTGTTTCCTTGGCTAAGTACCTCCACAAAAATACACTACAGGAGATAAAAGTCTCAACATGTTGAGAGGGCTGGATGGTGGTAAAAAAAGAGGTATGATTGTGTATATGATGAAAAGTGTTCAGAGAAAAGAAACTGATAAGCTGTAGACTAAAAATGAGAGGAATTTTACAGATAGTCTGTAAGTGCCATGTTTTACGGGTGTGGTTTATGTAAATTTTAGCTTGAAAGTTCCAATGTTTATTTACTTGGGCAGAGGAAGCCGCTTCTGGTGAATTTGCTTAGTAGGGAAGGGCTAAAGATATCATCATGCATGACTTCTCTTTTTTTATTATTGTAAGTGCCTGGGAAGTCTTTACTAGAAAGCTGATAACATTTTTTTTTCTTCTCCTGATCGATTGTATACGTTTTGATATTTGGTATGGAGAAAGATTGGATTTAAAGAACAGTCTTTTCCATATCACATGAAATCTGTTTATTTATACTAAATTGTTTTGTTTTTTTGTTTCAGAGGTTTACAGAGGCTGAAATTGAGAACAAAAACAGCCATAAAGATGGCGTTTGTTTTCCATGTTGAGTTTGGTATGAATGAGACACCTCTCACGCAGGCTCTGGAACAAGGAGACTTTGCTGTTGCTGAAAGAATTATCGTAGACTGCCCTAACGCCACATATCTTGATGATGGTGAGCTGCGCTTTACATCAGATGTTTTCCATGTATTTGTTTAAGGTCGCTTGGAAAGCAGTTTCGACCTCTTTTTGTACTGGACACACTTTCACTTTCGGGAATTCAAGCAGCTGCATAACAAGGAAAGTGTTAGATTGGAACCCACACGGTAAAAGGTCAAGGGGAAGACCACGTGGAACCTGGAGAAGAGTCACGGAAATGGACGTACAGAAAAGGGGGAAGACATAGAGTGACAGCAAGCGACTCGCCTAGGATAGGGAAAGGTGGAAAGTGTTTATTCATGGCCTACATCCTGATCCAGGGTGAAAAAGGCAATGATGATGACCTCTGTTTAGGGATTTCAAATTATGTTTTTGCCATGTGTCTCCTCAAAGTCAAGGAATTTTGGATTTCTTATTTTCGAAAACTATGTCTTGAAGTTTCCAGCTTAAATTAAGAAGATAAAAAAAATTCAATGAATTTGTTACAGTTAGTTACAGCTGTACAGGTGACAAGCTGCAAAAGAAAATGTGCGCTAATAACATTACATATGGTATAAAACTGAGTGACAAGTCATTGTGAGGGGGCTTTCGTGGTCTAGATGTTAAGGTGTTTGCCTCTCATTCAACAGGTTCTTCTCTAAAAAATTTCTCTTTTCACTTTCACGTCCTTCCCTGCGCTCTAACAATGTTCTGACGTGTGCTTTCATCTCCACTTTCTGCCCCGACAGACTCACTTCCTTTGCCCCCTCCTATGGGCTCCTGACTCTTTCTGCAGCCTTTCTACCACTACTCCTTGGCTCCCTACTGCTGTCTTTCAGCCACACCCCTGATCTTATGGCAGGTAAGATCTACAACTAGCCTTCTTAGATAAGAGCCAAAAATCTTGGAGGTTCCTTTGGCAAGTTGCGCACTCTAAAAACCCTTTGGTGGTCCAAAATCGATAAGTGTAGGCTTTGGCTGTCACCCGGGCAAAATTAAAAATCTTCTACAAACGGTAAATGTTTAATGTTGCCCATGTGCTCATGTGGTCGCTTAATAAAGGTAAAGTTTTGCCCCTTGGTCAGTTTCTTTAAAAGACAAGGAGAGTTTTCTCTTTTACCCGAACAAATTATATGAAACCAAACTTCTCCTATAGGTAGAGCAATGCCCACTTTTGATGTAAGTCAACATTTCTGGAAACCTCCGAAATCTGGGTTAGCCGGCTTGTCATTAAAAGCGACCATATGACCTATGCAGTTATGAGTGTGGTAAGACACTTATTTTAAAAAAGTCATTGTGAGTTACAATAACAATAGTAGTCACAATGCTAGATGAACTCAACAAGAGCTGTTTGAAATGAGAAATTGGCATCAATTGCAAGTGAACATTCCTTTGACCTGCAAGTGTGGGGTAATCTTTTGCTTCTCTTGCCCATGCCTGAGCTCAGGGAGTAAGTTGGAGTAATTTGACAATAATCACTGCCACAGTTCGTCTTTTGTACAAAGTTTGTTTGCCTTGACTTTACATTCACAAATTATTCTTAATTCAAATAAGCATGAACATTGAGTACTGATGAATTTACTTTAGCAGACCCAGAAAAGTTATGTTACTTCTCCACAGGTTGTTACCAGCGCACCCCTTTGTACATCTGTCTGTGTGGTGTTGATGAGTACCACCAGAAAGTTGCCGTTCGGAACCTCTACCTGGCACAGCTGCTGATTGAAAGGGGGGCAAATGTTAATCACAGGGTACCAGTGGTAAGATCTTCTGAAAGTTTCTCCATACTATTCTTGAGCTGGGTAGTTATATAAGATAAATTACCTTTTTTTTCCCCCTTGTAGTGAAATTTGGGATACAATGGCAAACATTCATACATATATAATCAGTAATCTAATAGTGTTCCATGACCTCTTTAACTCATTCGCTACGTATTATTTTCGGCCTGTAGACGAATTTTTTTCGGGAGGGCGAAATGAGATGATGACTAGTGCGCAGTTCACAGGTCTTGGGGGCCATGAATTCAAATAAATATCAACATATTATATACCAACATTTTCAGTATGGTTTGTAGAATACATCTGTATTGTTTATTTGAGTATTTTTCAACTTTGGTTCCTGTAAGAGGCGATTATGCAACACAATTGTGATTGGCTGCTGATAAAATTTGAAAACAAAAAACTTATAATCTCAGTTGAAACTCAAAAAATATGTTTGCACCTAGTCAAATTATACATCAAAATATCCGTAACTGTATATAGAACAGGAAAATATTGAAAAATGAGCAGTTATTTACATACATTCCATAATATTTGTCCATTTGGATCATAACCTCCGATATTGAAAAAAAAAATTTTTTAAAATAATTTTGAAAAAAGGATCCCAAACAGAAAAAAACACTCGTATCTTATATGGAATTATTCAGAATTGCATTTGGAATAAACCTATACATGTCTTGGATGGTACTTTTTGAGTAAATTCACCAAAAAGTAGTGATTTTGGGGAGAAAAAAAAATATTTTGACTATTTAGATCTAGGCCTAGATCTAGCACTGAAAAATATTGATTTCTCAATTACAGTGCACTGGCAATTTGAGTCCAGTAGTATCAATATTATAAGAAGAGTCCTACACTTCTTTAGTGAGCAAAATAATGATACATTTTGTTGTGTAAAAGTACAAAGACTGGTGTCTGGCTATAATTTGGGCTTCACGATAAAACAATGTCGCATAAACTTCGAAATCGTGTTTCAAAACTGAATCAAAACTTCAGATTTTCGGTGGAAACGCTTGACCCGGAAGTCAACTTTATATTATGACCTTTATTTTAACATGGATATGTGGATTGGAATAGAAACCAAGCTAAAATTGAACGTCGGTTCTCGAGCCGCCGGGGGCGGCTAAGCATACTGACGGCACTCTAGCCGCGCCGCCCCCCACGGCTCGGCGTAGCGAATGAGTTAATAATGAGATGAGACCCCTCACAGAAAACATGATGATGGATGTTTGTAGTTCTTTGGGATTTGCTTGTATGGTAGGTGTTGCAGCGTTCATCATGATAACTCTGGGCAGATATCACCATCTATTTTCAGGAGCTGTGATTTCAGTAACTGTAACATCAGCAGAAAAGTTGCATGTTTCATATATTCTGTTCCCAGATTTTGATTGGTACCTTTTTTGTTTGAACTACTCTTTTAAGTGATTCTCCAGAATATTAATGTCTAACAACCTTATCCAAGATTAAGTATATGTAGTATATGTAACTAACATCTGGCACCCACAAAACCAGAATAAAAAAAGAAAAAAAAAGAGGTTTTGTAGTTTCTCTGAGTGAGACATAAATTGGAAAAAAATGTCTGTACTAGTTTTGTCCCTCAAAGATGTTGTTTGCTATGGTTTACTACGGTCTGCTACCTCTCTTCTTTCTTCTGTGGTATGTGCTCATGTTGCTACTAATAAAGCTACTCCAGACCAATTGCACCTGCAGATTTTCTGCTTTCTGTATCTTCTCCTTAAACTTTATTATTTGACTCATGGTTTTTTTTCTAGGAAAGTAAAGAGATTTGATGAGGCTCAACTGTTTAGTATTTTTTTTTTTTAAAGTTCATTTTTTTTCTGAAAGAGAATGGAAGACATTTTCATGACCTAGAATTCACCTGTTCTCTTCTGAAGACAAACTTTGGCTCGGAGTATATGAGTCCTGGCAAATCGTGCCTTGAGCTGTTGATCGACTTCTACATTGACCTCAGTCGCCAGTCAGCTTTGGACCAGGCGGAACCTCCATGGTAAAGACTTACTGTTGTGTGGCGTATTCTTTTTAAAAAAGCTTACTACTCTTGTGCTGTGGGTTTTTTAAGATGATAGATTGATTAACTCCTTATTTTCAGTAGCGTCTTGGGACCTTCCTGTACACCCACTTCGACGACATATTAGTTTTCGACAATTGCTGAAAACAGGTCTCTTTTACTGGAGTTTTTTCATTAGATGAAGAACTATCAAAATAGGTTCATTTGCTTTGATTTAATGATCAATTTAGTGAGGTATATGTCACTTTGTGGCAGGGTTGGGTTGATTTAAATCAGTTGATTTTTAAAATTTAAATCAACTTGATTTTTTAAATAAAAATCAGTGATTTAAATCACTTTAAAATTTTTTTATTTTTATTCAGTTTTTACATATTTGAACATTCAGAATTCCCTTCCTTGGTTTCATAAAACAGATATAAGGTTAAGTAGACTAATATAATCATGCTTAAAAGTCTGCTTTCCCCCCTGTCACTGTAAAATAATACAG